TGGAGCTACTGTAATCCTGATTCAAGAATTACCTTATGGCATAATAAAACTTTGAAAGAAAATATAATAAATTGTAAGTATGCAGTAAGCACCAGTAATTAATAAGTGATATTAATACAAATAGATACTGTTCCATGTTAAAGACAAATTTCATATTGATTTTATATTTCATACTGAAGAAGAGAAATTGTAGGAGGAGGGAGAAAGAAGGAAATGCTTTCAAAAGCCCTGTTCCTGCTTGTATTTGTGCTTGAAGCCAATAAGACAATTCATCTGTGGAAGAGTAAACAAGTGCATAATTCTTTTCAGGACCAAGACTGTACTGGCAAAACTAACAACTGTGATGATAGGCTTCCCAGAGAGGCCAAGAGCTGAATGAAGCATGAGCTGCCCTCATAACCTTAGCCTCAATGGCTATCAACATGCTATCCATGGATTTGAATGAGCCTATAGTTTATTCCTCTGGGATCAAATATAGTGTATAGGAAAAAGTGTTCCATGAAGGCTATACAATTTTTGTGTAGGTAAAATTTCCAGAGGGGTTCTCACATCCACATATAATTTGAAAAAGCAGCTAGAAAGTATCTGTTCTTTTCAGCTCAGAGCTACAGCACGTTGTTCAAAGGAGCTCATTTACTTAGTTCCCCATTGGATTACTGAATGTAATATATTGCAATGGTCAGTAGGCAGAGCCTTCTGGATAATTTTTTCAAACGGTCTCTCAGCAGTGCTACATGTCTTTGTTATAAAATATTTTAATTAAAAACTGAAATCTAGATTTAGCAATTCAAATATGACCAGTTTATTACTTTATTTTTAAAGATTGACATGTTTTAATTAGAAAATATTTAACCATTATATAGCTTTTAAACCTCAGTAAGTGCTATCCGGGGCAAAGTTACAAAGCAGAGCTGAAGTGAAAGTATCTATTGTACTATACATCAGCCGGTCCTAAATGTTTCTGAAACTCTAAAGACATTAAAACAGACATACAGCCTATATTTATCAATCTAAAGATTTTAATTTCAGAAGGCACTGCCATTCAAATGGCATCTAATCAGGCTCATAGTGGTCTATTTCACATCAAAGAGCTATGGGATAAAGTACATATAATACTTAAATACTTCTTAGAGCAATGGCTAAAAATCAAAAGATGAACACAGATAAACACCTTAACCCCTCATGCCCATTTACTTTCCTAGTGTATCTCTAAATTCAGGACAGAACAAGGTCTGAAATGGCTAGATGTAGCTACAGGATGAATATGTGAAAGGGAATGAAGGATGGAGGAAGACTCACTACCAGAATGGATACATTCTATGACAATATTCTGGGACTGAGGCAGCTCTCCTATGAGGAGAGCCTGAATGAGTTGGGACTGTTCAGCCTGGAGATGAGGAGGCTTTGGAGGACCTTATCAAAATACTTAAAGGAAGGGTGCAAAGAGGATGGAGATGGCCTATGCTCAGTGGTGCCCCATGCCAGGACAAGAGGCAATGGGCACAAACTGGAGCACAAGAAGTTCTGTTTAAACATCAGGAAGCCTGTCTGTGCTGTGCAGGTGATGGAGCACTGGCACAGGCTGCCCAGAGAGGCTGTGGAGTCTCCTCCTTGGAGATCTTCATAAGTCACCTGGATGTGGTCCTGGGCACCCTGCTTTGGGTGGCCCATGCTTGAGCAAACGGTTGGACCAAATGACCTTCAGAGGTCCCTGCCAAAGTTAACCATACTGCCATTTGGTGATTCTGTAAATATGCATGAAGATTTTTTTATTATTATTATTTACTTTTCCCACAACTTTTTCACAGTTCTTCCCCCACGTTGTTTCAGGAAAAAAAATAAAAAATGTTTATTCTTTAGGCTGATATAATTAAAACATGTTTTAGGAAGGTATACAGACAAACCCATTTCTTAAGACATTAGAAATGACAGGTATACTTGAAGACAACAGTAATTTTACTGAAGCCATCAGAAAATAAAAACATTATTTAAAAATAAGCTTGCTGTTTTGTTTTCAGTAGCGTTCCTACTAACATAAAATTTTAATTGCAGATTAGTTTTATTCTTGTAGTGCTGTTGATAGATTTGAGGCAAGCGACATACATCATTAATCGTATTGTGTATTGAATTGCATTTCAAACAAGAGCTTTGTCTGACCGAGCTCCTACAGCCTGTCTGATTGTTGCAGAATTATCATTAAATGGAAATGATGCCAGTGAATGTTGAACTTAATGTTATGTTTCCAAATACCATGAATAATATTACAGTGCCTTTAATGATTTCCATAGGAGAAAAATGTCATTAAGCAAAGCACCAATATTAGCCCTGGTGCCCTGCCTGAATTCCAGTCTGGCTAATTGCATTCTGATACCTAACATTTCTCAGTAGTTTGAACTGGGTACATTTGTGTTCCTCGGTGTTTGATCATCGATGTGTTAATGCTGTACATTGTCATCTCATTGTTGTATGCCACCCCAGAGTTTGCTGGCTATCATGGTCAAACATTCAAGCTGTATTAATAAAGTCCTGACCACAACACATGACCCTGAAAAGATTCCTTTCACTCTACCTTCCCACATTTGATCAAGTTTCTTAGGTAGTGTTTAACATATCAGGTAAGCATAGCTCAATTTATTTCAGTGTTTGTTAAATCTACAACACAAGCTCAAGTCCCACTTCTGAAATAATGACCTGCTGAAGCCCATTAACACATGTTTATAGCTGAGCACAGAGATGATTGTTTTAGTTTCAATCAGAGTGGCACTCTGAACAGTATTTCCTAAGCATCTCCACATCTGCTTTGCTTTCAATTGTGCAGTAGTCTAAGAACATGACCCAAACTTTGGATGAGAGCTAAGTGAAGATATGCTCCAAGAGCATACCTCATACACTTTAGCACCTGCAAAGCATTTAAACAATAGCCTTGGAGTAGAGCTAGTCCAAAGCTCTATTTCTGAAATGTGGACTTCAGAATAAACTGACTTGTACTATAGCTCTGCTTCAGTTCGTTCATAGTACTTGCTTATGTAGACATAGTAATATTCAGATATTTTATTCAAATTGGACAATCTGGACTGTATTATTTTACTATTCTTTAAAGTGTGGGTTTTCCACAACTCAACTTACAGATCACAGAATATTTGAGAAAACCATTCTGACTTTGTCACATTTGGTAACAGTGATGGAAATAAAAAAAAAAGATAGGGATGAAAAGAGTCTGAGACCTAAATCCTAGCTCATGGAGAGCTATCGGAGAATCTGATTCATGAGAGAATTCTGATTCATGGAGAATCAGAAACATGATTCTGAATTGCCTTGATACACATTCAGGCAGGATGTCCAGTGCCAGTCCTATATAATAACTTTTTGTGTGTATGTCACATCTCAAAGACATTGTGTCTGGTATCATTCCTAATAGCCTTCCCAAGCCCCTTCATTTTGAGGGCCATTTGTGATATCCAGTTCAGACATTCATACACATTAATTTTCCCATTTGAGTGATCAGACAAGATCAAGAAACATGTAAAATATTTAAATATGGCATATATTTTTATATGCATTGACATTGATTAAATATAAACACTCATTAAAATATGAGATCAGAAAGAGGTAGTGTCAAAAAAAAAATAATGGATGAGAGTCTTTGTATCACTTAGTGAATGCAGTATTCCTGTAAATGTTATCTACAGATAACCCTAAGTAAATCAATCGCATACCATTTTTCTTGGGATTAGGTGTCCTCTCAGTTGAACAACTGAATCCATGTCCCTTCCCTACCTGGTATATAAAGTACCCCAGGAGCTGCACATATTGTGCTGCGTGTTCTACATGGTATTGTTGTTTGAGGTCTAAAGCTGAGTGATAAGCTGAAACTGGATTGTCATCATTAAAGTTTTGTCACAGTCTGATTTAGGAAGAAAGTCAATGATCTGGAAACAGATGTGAAGCTTTAAACGTATATCATCAGATCTTCAGAACTAATTTCAGGCTTAATACAGCCTTGGATTTTCTTCTGGTAGAAGAGAAAAGACAATGAAATGTGGAAAAGAGTGACAGGAGAAGTAGAAAAGAGAACACAGGATCATATGAGCACAGATGCTAATGAACTGAAAAACACCATTTTATTAAACTGTAACGTGTCTGTACAGAAGTCAATCATTTGAAAGCAACTGTAGAATATATAAAGAGCCTCCTCCCATACAGGAAGTCTTTTCTTGCCCTTTTCAAAGTTTCTGCTTAATATTAAGGATATTTATTATTTTGTACCTGGTTACACTGAAGCCACACTAACATGGTCTCCCTCTAACTCCATCTTGCACATATGAATATCATTACAAACAGGAGGAAGGGGAGAGGAAGCAAAGGGAAAAGGGTGATCCAAGGTTATTCTAGACTCTGAGAGCATGACAGTCAATGCCCTAATATACACAGAAATCAAATGTTTTATGGTGGTTGTGGTTGAATACAAATAAAAGTGAATTCAAATCTCCTGTGTCCCATTCTTATCCAAAAACTCTGATAACAGCCACTGGCTTCTCAAGCAAATACAATCTCATATGTATTCATCTATTTAACTAGATTTTTTATTTTTTTTTCCCAGTCTGTTTGATAAACTTTTAATTAAACCTAGTATATTTATGAAAATGATCTGGATGTAATAGTTGGTAACTTCCAAAGGAAACATATTTTTTGTCTGAATCCTGACAGAATCTATTTCCATATTGCACATATATATAGCTTCAGAAGAAAATCATGGTATTCCTTTCCAAGCAAAAGGGAGAAGCATTTGGATATGATTGGCCAAGACTACTTTCAGATCTATTATATACAGATGGAAAGTACTGCTAAATCCTTAATTTATTACCTATCCCAGTGTGTAGCTCTTTGGATAAACCTCATTTTGTACTAATAATTCTCAGTGGTGCTGTACAACATATGTTACAGAAGTCCCTGAGCTAACCAAGAAAAAACAAGCCAAAACCATCAGTGGAGTGTCTTACCTGTCTGAACTCTTCAAGATCTATTTTGTTTCCAACCAGTACCAAGGGGATATCATAGGTGTGCCGGACACGATAAATGAGTTCCTTAAACTCAGCAGCTTCTTGAAAGGATTGACGGTCTGTGATGGAATAGCAGATAATGAAGCCTTCTCCGCCTCGCATGTATTGGTCCCTCATGGCTGTGAATTCTGCCTGTGAAATAAGAAGAACATGCTCAGTAATTTGGCAGAAAAAAAATTCCATCTGCAAATAACAGACTTGCTGAAAACTTCCTCCATCCCCCAAATAATTTCACATTGCTTGTTTTACTGTTTTAAATAGTTTTTGCTGAAACTCATGCATCCTTCTGGGTCATTATCCTAGATAATACACCAGCAGGATTTCTCTTAGGTCTTTCTTTTTTTCTCCTTTTTTTTTTTTTTTTAACCTTTTCTTATCAGGAGAACTCTATCTTCTAAGATCAACTTATGCCAGTGCCTGCATATAGAAAACACTGTTTTATGTAGCTCTAGAACCTTCTGCAGCCCTTATGGTACACATAGATGACTAGCAATTCAATGGATGCTAATAGGTGTGAAAGAAGAGTTATATTACTATCTAGGGATGGTAGATAGTTAAAAACTCTTTATTATGCACTCAGTTCAGAAACTCAGTAATATCAAAATCATTGTCATTGACTCCCACCAGCTTTGGAAAAATGCCTAGCAAAACAGGAACATAAACTGAAAAAAAGTTCTGCTTTTTCAAATGCTCACAGAGGAGCTGGGGTATTTAGTTCAAAGTGGGATAATACCATTAAATCAAAATGAATAATTTTGAATGGAGGGATAATTGGCCCAATTTTCTGTTCCTTCATTTTCCTATATTTTTGTATGCATTTTTTTGTCACAACTATATTTTGAGTTACAAGTATGGTTTTCAAATTTATTTAACAAATACTACATTCTAGAAAAATCAAAGCTTACTTTTTAAAAACTAGTCTCAGACACTGCAGCTCGAGAATGCGTTTTAAAGACAGTTTCTTTTTTGTTTGCTCTTCTTGATCACAACCCAGAATAATCCAGCCCATGACAACCAGCCCATGACAACAGCCAGGTGAGATCAAAATCCTCCTGACAGAATCAGCTCTCCAGAGATATTAAGATACAGGAAGGTCTGATAAAGCAAGGCATACACATATCAATGTTGGACCATTTCTATGAGCAGCAGGATGCAATATCAAGTCCTGTATTTTTTACTCTGTTGAGAATTTAGGTGAGGATTTTAAAAAGAGTTTAGGCTATATATATGTCCACAATTTTTTGCTGAAAATTTAAGGGAAATGGATTGCTTATGCTCTTTTAAAAGTCCCAGCCTTAAATCTTTCTCAATAGTCACTCATGTTGATTGATAATACTTCCTGTGAAGAGACTTTTGTGTTGACCATTATCATTTATTCATGATGTATCTTTTACCCAGGGGCTTTTTTATATATCATTCAAAATATTTCACCTGCTACAGGAAGAAGTTCATAGACTAAGCTCCAAAATAGCAGACTAATAGGCAATTTAAGGGTAAGATTCTGCTTTGAGCTTACTCTGAATTTAAAAATGTCTAAACTCTCACCACTTCCATCCCAGGAGAGTTTATTATCTGCGAAGCTATATCTTTAGAGTGGATTAGGCCGTGTTCTGTTCCATCCTCTTGAAAGTGGATGTGGGGCAGTGGTGGGTAGAAAGACAGAAGACATCTAGCCAAAAGGGATCTATTCTTTGTTGGTTTGTGCAAGACAATGAATGGAGATCTAGTCTCCGGTTTCCAGGTTGTTGTCTCTCAACCTTATTAGATAGCCCCTGGATCAATAACCAAAACAATAACAAACTGGAGACCACACTCAAAGTCTCCGAGTTACAGATGGGTAGTGTTAATTACTAAGCATGGAAATATACTCTTGCTCACTTACTCACCCACTGACTTTCCTGCCAAGACAGGATCTCTCCACCTACCTTCCCAAGTTTCTTCTCTTTTCATTATCACCTAGACCTATTCCATTCCGTGATTAGTGGGGTTGTCTCCTTTGCAGTAGGAGCTAAACAAGGCCATGATGCCTTCCTTCAGACTGAACATACAGTGAAAATCTTATGTGGAGTTGAACTTGTGGATTAAGGCTCTTGAATTTAACTATCTCTATGCAGTTGTAGGCCACAACCTAAGCTCCAATATAGATAATGGAAAACTGATCAATATAATTAATGGACTACAGATTGGTTTCATTGACAAAAAAAAAAAAAAAAAAAAAAAAAAAAAAAAAAAAAACACTTTTTCTGCTTTATCTATTTTTGGGTTAGAGAGAGCTGAATATTTAGACAACTAAACAGAACCTTTAGGTCCCATGTAGACATATGAAGTAGATGTTTTGTTATATAACAAATCACAGCCCAGATGTTCTGTATTCCTGGGTTAGAACATTCATAAATCTAATATTATGACACTAGATGATTATTCTGCACAGCCCTTTACAAGGAATTAGCTCTGCTCAGTGAGGTGATCCACCTCCAGGAAGTGCTCTGAACTTTTTACACTCATTTATAGCTGCTTGCAGTGAACAAAGGATGCATTAGGACCCATATCTCTGTTTAAGTTAAATATTGCAAGTGACCTGCTGCAACGTGAGGACTGTCTGGATCACTCACCAGGAATTTTCAGTGGCTTTCCTTAAGTACAAGGAGAATCTGGATTTACACACTATAATTTTTTACACACTGCGATTTACACATTGTGTCCAAAAGGACAAAATGCTCAGCTTATAAGCACCACTATTCTAGAGCTGGAGACATTTACCTACACTTTCTGCGTCATGCCTGGGCATAATTATTATTTTAAATATATGAATAAATTTGCTTTTCCATTTTTTCATTATGACATATTATTGCAGTTGATGTGTTAGATTAAGCAGCCAGAATACATGTACCTTAGTGTCGTGCTGACAGTGATTCATTTTCAGATGCATTGATTATTCTATGCAAACTGGATTTGGGACATCCCCTTAGTTTTCCGTTAACTCAATTAGCAATTTTTTTTCTTAGTTTTGATGTTTATTTTCACCTTTCAGCTATTCTCCTTGGCAGGAATGCTCATTACATCCTCAAGGACTCCAAGGTTAATCATAAATACATGTAAGCATTTTATTGGATTTTTTTTTTTTTTTTTAACATTCTGAAAACCCCAACATAGTAATATAAATTAGGAAACAGGATAAATACAATTTTCAATAAACCTGCTGTAGATCTTGCAATAGCTGTGCCCATACATACAAGACAAAAAAGTAAGAAGCAATTAAAGCTGTTCAATTTTTAGTTCAAGATATATTTCATAGTTTACACTTATTAAAATCCAAATCACCTGGGTTTTGTGGATGTTCAACAACAGATGAAGATGGACCCAAAGGTTTTACATATTTTTCAGTGTTTTTATGTTATATTTTTGACTGGTTCTCTTATAAAATAAGTGGCATTATATCTGTGCACTTGGCACACAAATGTCTTCTTTCTTTTCTGCTATAGAAGTGGCTTTTTCAAAAAAAATATTCAAGAATAGTACTTGATACATTTTTTTTTTACTCAATAGGGGAAAAATATGAAACATTCCCAAGTCAGTAAATATCAAGGGGAAGAGAAAGTAGGAAAACATACCTCCTCAAAAGGAAATCAATTCTAAGAATTAAAGTGAAGTTTTGTCGTGCTTATAGCACTTTGCAGCTTGACATCAGTCTATAGTATTCTCATGTGTATTATGACTAAGACTTAACTGAAAAGTGTGATAAGAAATCTTTTGAAACAAAATCACCTTCCTCCTTTGGAGAGGTGCTGTACTTGAGAATAAAAATCAAGTTTGGATAGAAATAAAATTAAAACTTTTGAAAAGTTGAAAGAAAGAAGTATAACTTTTCCATTTTCCCAACAGAATATAAAAAAAGGAAGAAAAAAAAAAAAAAAAAAAAAGTACTAATCCTCATATGAAGCCTATCTGTAGAAGAAAGTTAGCAAGAAAATTTGAGCATGTCACTCCTAAATGTCCCTAATGTCTGTTCCAATTGCCCTTATAGGGCATCTCAAGTGATTTTGAAAATTTGATAGATTGGACTCGCGATGAAATAGAGCAGTTCCCTCCACATGCTCAGTCACATCCCATTCTGTTGTATTAAATGACATACACCCAGGTGAATTAATTTGTCCTTTAATGATCCCCTTTGCTAAGGGTATATGTGTATATATATCTTCATCAAACTTTCCTATGAGGCAGATGAGCCAGTAAAGGCTGGGATAGAGAAAATCCTAAATGTTTTAGTTTGCTGTGTTCTTCATCACTAGGCTACTAGCTCTTTTCAGCAGCAGCTACACATTTATCTCAGACTTCCTTAAATTGGAAGTGTATCTGTAGAAGCCCAGCTCTTTGTCTTTCACATCTCTCAAAAGTTTCAACCCCAGCAACACTTTCTCTTCCTAACATGTCCAAGAAATACTTCCATGTCCATCCTTGCGTGGCTGTCCCTGCTTCTGTATTTTTTATACTTTCTTAAGTCAAACTGAGTGAGCAAACTCTTTCTTTTTTATATTAGCCTTTAGGAGAACAGCTTAGTGTAGAAGAAAATACTTATCCTGTGGTTTCTTTCTGTTATCCTGATTTATCTTCTTTTATCCTGCTTTTCATAACAAGCAAGAGGGCTTTTTCATAATGAGCAATCATTTTAATTTGTTTTTAAATTCATTCTTTTTAATATAAATAGGACTGATGTGATTATTTATTTATTTATTTTATTATTTATTTATTTATTACAGTTTGAAATTCTTTCCAAGTGAGATCAACTTTGTATTGTCTTCAGAAAAGGAAACACCTTTGGTGGCAAAATAGACTACTCTTAGATATATATGTCCTTATGAAGGACTAGCTTATTGTTGGCTACCAAACCCAACCAATGCTCAGCTCAGAACAACCTCACCTTTTAGACTGCAGTAATCTAGGAAAGGATGTCACAAAAGTAGGTATGTCTGTTTTTTTACAGTCTCCTAAGCATTTCCTCCTGAACAGCACTGGAGAAAGAGTGGTGGACCAGAAAAGCTTTCACCCAACTCAGAATCATTACGAAGAACCACATCACTGTTTTACATCAGCAGACCTCAAAACTGAAGTGAAGTCTCTGGGACTCCAGTGTT